TCTTCTTCTTCTTAATTACTTCCTGGGGCTCGCGTGTTCGTTTGTATTGGCAACTTTGAGTACTCTCCTAGCGACCGCTCACGGTGGGACTTCTTAAGATACTTACATATAAGGAACTTTAAATAAGGCAGGCAGTTGTTAAGCATATAGACTGAGACGTTCACGGCCATGAGGGAGTACCACCAGATATCTCTGATGATAAGGACGAGAATTTTCAGAAATGCTCTTCTTAAGTCAGCTTGTACCACAAAGTTGTCATCTCTTCTTCGTCTTCTTTGGGTGGTGATGGAAACGGTCGGATATACGTACTCCGAATCTTCAAAATATATGGCAATATGTGACAGCTGATTATTTCATAATCCACATATACGTTAAGTTCTTAGGCCATCTAGGTAGTTAGGCGATATTTCTACCACATGACACAGCAGAGTTGAGCTATGCTCCACTGTGCATACTTCAGTGCTCAGTTTACTGATTCTATTATATAAACGCTAGATCAATATTAAACCTGCGATTTCACAAACAGTTAAATAAAGGACTCAAATGTGCTTGCCGGGAACATCTGTTTTTAACTCCATATTTGAAAAGCGATGACGATTTCAGATTAGTTGTCCCACGTGGTTAAATAATACGTGCTGCAATCACAATTAAAGGATATAAAGTATAGACCCATCATAAATTAACTTGGAAATAACGCCAGGCTACGTGGAAGATGTTTTTTCGCTTAAAGTTGTCAACTAAAAACTCATCAACTTTGTGTTATCTCTAAATGGAGGGATATTAAATACGCCCTCAATAAGTAGCTTGACAGCAAATTATCATCTGCTGTGGTCGTATCCACACAGACAACGATTTACGGGAAGTTTTACATAGTAGAATACCCAAAGTAAACGAATTTCACATTTGAAGAACGATCCTTTAAGTCTTCCAAACCTATGAATGCTTATAGCCTACACCAAAGAGCAATAAGTATAAGAAAAGTGTGTGTACGCCAACTGGGCAGTATTCGTCTGTTTATTTGAGTTTCAGTAACCTTAACACATGATTGCGCTCTATTCAGTTAAAAACAATTAATATCTCTGTCGTTGTCACACTGATATCATGTGTAAGGGTACTTTTTGGTGTTTAACTTTATCACGCAGCAAAATTTCTCCTCCCACTGCATCCTTTGGTGTTTTTTTTTGGAAATGCAAGGAAAACTTGTTGCCTTTACTGTAATAAAAGTAAAATATGGATGCTCACCTCCATCCGATGAGCGAGCGTACACAATGGACAAATTGTTTTCGAACAATGCTGACAGAATTTGAATTCTGGTGAGTACCCTTTGCACAGTGGACAAAATGATAGAGCTTCTGTTGGAGGTGGTACCTGCGAAGAGGCTTCTCGGGCCAGGCAGGAATCGTGAGGCTGGTTTTGGCAGAACGGACAGCTGACCCATGTTTGGTTAGAATTTACGGGCAGCCAAGCAGGCCTAAGGAAAAAAAGGTGCAAACGGTTAATGACTATCTTGACAAAAGAAACTAGAAACCGCCCTCCAGTTTCCGCATACCAAAATAAAACTGCAGTTCAATTGCAAAACTGATGATGCCATGGACAAAACAAGACAAAATTAACTATTTGCGGACCTCTTCTTATGACTGCGGTAATGTGTGATACTTTGAGATGGCGATGTACACTCAGCTAGTTGATATATTTGCAGCCTATCATATTCCTTACACGAAGATTACAATTTATTCTCCTCGAGGAGACTAGATAAAAAATATACTATGAACGCGATTTTAAGTTATTTAACTTTTCAACAGGGCAACACTGAATAGCCATGCATCTAATGTACAGTTCCCAGCAAAACAATATATTCCCGCGTCTGCTTTCCTGTGTTGTTTGACTATGCATTGAAGCGCTGAAATCAGCGTACTGATTCAAAGCTTAATTGAATGCGACGAAAATCTATCAGGCCTTAACACATTTCCAAACAGTTACCAGTAGTTAAATGTAACCGTTTAGGTTTAAGTATCTCTTCTATCATTCTAACATCTATACTTATGAGTAATTTTGTAAATGTGCGCAGTGAATACTTGCAGAATCCACGGAATGCGATGCCAGGTGTTAGATTTGTGTATCATCACACACAGAAAATCACGATTTTCGATTTTTTAAATTGATATTGAAAACACCTAAATTGAATAACAATTTCACAGTGAAGTCAGGCAACTCTTATTTTTTTAGTTTTCCGTTGAAATTAGTAACGCCTGCCATTGTTTTTTGGAACCATAATTTTATATTTAGCTACCTAAATCCGATTATGTCGGTACCTTTCATAGATGTCTTTGTGGCAGCAGAGATTTCACTATTGCGAGGTCGAGCAAAATTTGATTATTCAGATGTGGTTATAGTGAAGTCGAGAATTCCTGTGGATAATGGAAAAGTAAGAGCATGCAGGCAGGCAACCCTTATGAATAACAAACCTCGTGGAACCGTCTTGGCTACTGCAGGAGGCATTGCGTTCCTGAACATAGATTCTCCTTCCACCGACCTGATGGTCTCTGTCAAGGATAGTATGTGCGTCGAGCGCCGTACGCAGGATGACATAACCATTTCCGCCATGCATGTGTGTTGAGGAATTCTTGGCCATATGCAAGTGCAGAACCCGGCCAAACTGTGCAAAGTAAGCGTCCAGCATTTCAGTTGTAATACTTGCCTTCACCCCCACCACGAATAACTGGAGTGTATCTTCCTGCATTGGCGGATGCTCGTTATCGTTGGCATTATGATCATATTCTTCCTCATTATAATCTTCGTCATCGTAATCTTCGTCGTTCTTTTCACCATATTCCTGATCGTTATTATCGTCGTAATCGTAATTTTCCTCCTCTCTTTCTTCTTCATATTCATCATATTCATGATAATAGTGAGCAACATCATTTTCTTCTTCGCTATGATAGTGATCTTCATATTCTGCAACTTCGGCTAACATTGGCTGCAGAGCAAATTTACGTCGATTTCTGAAAGCAGATTACCCTATTTTATTATTTGTATTAATTTTTAAGCAAACCCAAACCACTTATATATAAACCTGGCCACAGTGCAATTTTATTGAGAAATACAAAATCTCAAGTCTCCTATAATGTTAGCTGTATATAAACTACTTGAAGGAGGAGATTACGCCGAATATACTGTTTTGCATTGTACGTGACCTGCGCAAAACTCGGAAGAAAGAAGGAGGCGACATAGATGCAGGTCTTCAAGTAAGGCTTGCGGAGTTATAGGGGTCTCCTGTTTTCCTTTGAATCATATTAAATTCGAGGCCAATCCAGACAGGCGTTGTTTGTAACAGCAATGTTGCTTACAGTTTGTAAGTACTGCCAATATAATTGAATATGCGAGTTCCAGGAAGCAGTTCAGAAGAAGAAGA